GGCAATTTGTATATAAACTCAAAGAGTAGTGTTTTAGGTATAAGAACATGCCTACTGTATGGCAGCAGAAATCTAGACTTGAATTAAGTAAGTTCAGCAGATAACAAATACCAGTTGTATGTTAATTGCATAAGCATTGGGGAAGCAAGGATGAATCATATAATTTCTTGCCTTTTTTTTTTTTTACAAATACAGTGTGTTTTAGAATTTTTTAAACTTTTTCTGATACTTACATACTATCATACAACTTAAAGTCACATTATGTTTTGTGCCTTCTTACTATAGCTCTGGTATAACACTGGGGAAGCAAGATGAATACAATAGTAACTGCCTTCAAGAACAGTCTCTGCTTACAGTCAAATAAGGGAGATGGAAATGTAACTATAACATAGTGTGACAGCTGTAACAGTAAAAGTATGTATAGGTACAGCTGGGTAGCACAGAGAAGGAGGTAGTAATGCCAGGATGACAGTGATGCTCATCTGAGTTTTGAAGGAACAAATGGAACTTTGCCAGATGAAGAAGGGCATTCCAGGCAATGGGAACAGTGTGTAAAAAAACACATAAAGGTATGAACAGCATGGTTATATAAAAATCTACATAGCAGTAAAGTCATTTTTAGCAATAAGGAGTAATTATAATTATTGCCCATTAAGCCCATGTATATGACCAGATTCTTCTTTTAGTTTTATCCCTGCAGTGAATGATTTGACCTCTAATCTCTTTCGTACCAAATCAAAAAGTGAAGAAATCAAGATTGAACTGGAAAAACTTGAAAAAAATCTAACTGCAACATTAGTATTAGAAAAATGTCTACAAGAGTAAGTAATTGAGTTCTAAATGGTGACAATTTATAAATAAGGGAGTAATAGGACATTGTCAAATTTAGTTTTGGCAGTAGGTGTGATTTTAAAAACATTAGGAAATAGGGTCCATAAAACACTTTTTTAAGTAGAATGATTAGTGAAGCTGGAGATCGTTGGATATGACTTTTTCAGCTTTTTTTTTTTTTTTT